GCAAATGAACCGCGTGATTAAATTTCTTTTTTTTTATTTTTTTTTTTATTATTTCCTCTCCCTTCCTTGTCTTTTCGACAATACGGGATTCTGTGTTTTATACAACAAGTTTCTTGTCTTGTTATCTTGGAGTCACTCCAGGTTGAGACTGTTGAAGTCTTCGCCTTACTCTAATATTGAAATGGGCTGCGCCTATTTGTTCCTTCCACCTATACACGAATGCCTCGTAGTATAGGTAGTTATCTGCAACGACGAGAAGAGGAAAATCTCCTTCGTTGATATTGTAGATATTTAATAGCTTGGCCCTCAGAGCCTCAAACGCCGTGCAGCTGGTAATCATTTGCTCGGAAATATCCGGAATACGACAACTGGAGCATAGGGTATCGATGTCTTGTCTAAGACTATGTAACTTGGCACAAAAACCTCCATATCCAGTGAGGTATTGCGAGACCTAATAGTCTGGTTTTATCTATCTGGCTGCTAGTCGAGACTGTACGGTGGGAAAATACTTCCTTAGGGTAACCCCCTTAGTGGTAGTGATCCACCGCCTGTTCCACTCTTCGACAGCAGCTTCTCTCAATATTGATTTCTATCTATTGGGCCGTTCCTCAATCCTCACTCGAAGGTCCTCCGGAATCTCTGCCAAGCCTTCTCTTCTATAGGCATATTTGATCAAGTCTTTCTTGCAGGAGGAGATCGAGAGGTATCTCCCCTGCTAAAATCTGCACTGCCTCATGAGGCACTGTCTTATATGCCTCAGGTGACCTGCAGCAGAGCCATCCTCTGGATAGATGCTAACTTGTCCTTCTTTCGCATGGGGAGGTTTAGGTACCATGAGGGGGATGCATACCTTTATATACCCAGCACCACTCCTTTGTAGATAGTCTTGGTAGCTGGGTATCTAAGGCCCCAGAAAGCTCCACCAACACGACTGAGACCATTTAGGTGATTAAGGTAAACAACAATTAAATTTTTGTTCTGGGCCACACAACATCCACTTATAACAGAAATTAAGAAACGCAGAAATCTTTTAAAATAATTCTTTTTTTTTGTAGAGACCATGTAAGCAATCTCTCAGTAAATAGACTATTTTATAAAATGGTCTGTAAAAAGTATCTCGATGAATGTTCCTTTTTAGTTATATAAAAACTGTACCACTACAACTCATTAAGGGTCTTAGTTGGTTTCAGTAATTTATAAGGAAGTAATGTTTCAAGGCCATCGATGTGCAGAGAGATAATCGGGCCGGAATCACACTCAACCACCAGATTTTTCTCCTTAATTACTTAATTTAGAATACCCACTTTATACAGGCTGGGTATATTCCAAGTGTGTCTCCCAACACCTGAGTTGATCCCCGTTTGATGAAAAATTACTTATCAGCCGGATTCGAAACCGGGACCTTAAGCTTGGAAAGTTAGTGTCATACCTACTCAGCTACCCTACTCCCTTTTCTTAATTATATTATAACTCAAATTTTTTCTTAACTAAGTGTAAAATTTTCAATATTTATTAGAAGAACCTAAAATACCTATACCACTACAACCCATGAAGGGTCTTGGGTTCAGTACTATTTAAGGAAAGCACTGTTCCTTCAATGGTTGTGCAAGGAGGTGATTTGACTGAGATCATGCTAAGCTGTCAGGTTTTCTTCCTTAATAATTATTTAAATAATGGTACCCACTTTACAAAGGCTGGGTGTGCATCAGGAGGGTCTCCCGGTCCAGGGTCGCCCCACAGACAATGAAACTGAATAAATAATTTTTCTGCCATGAGCCGGGATTCAAACCTGGTAGCCCTGGTGGCAGAGACCAAAAATCGACCTGATCACAGGCGAAGGTTTGATTGTAAATTACGAAATTGTATGTCATTCTGAGGAAAAAGAACCTTGTCTACAGTTCCAGAGCCGCTGCTTTAAAACACGTTGGCTGATTTAAGGAATATTAGGCCAGTAACTTGAGGATCTAAAGGGGAAATCCATTGCGAAGAATGTGAGAAAAGTTTTTATTTTTTTAACTTGTATATATGGGTTTAGACATGTAAAAACAAAATTGCTAATGCAGGCCACCAAGTGAAAACTTTTTACAGCCAAAAAAGTCATATATTTTTGTTTTTTCGCCTATAACTCCTTAAAGATGCATCACAGCGAAAACTGTACTCTTTAATAAATTAAAGAACGTTAAATTGTACTTCGAACGAGTACATAAACTTTATAATTTGGTTACGTGGTAAGGTATAAAACCAGGGTCAACCAATGCTGATTTTTACCAAATTTGTCAAAAACTGAGACAAATTACTATAATTGGCCCAGCAACTTGGAAATAAGTTTCTTCAGAGGAAAAACCCATAGATGTCTGTTACATGCAGTATAAGCCTCTTTCCACCTCTCAGCAACGAAGGATTTTGATAAACAATGTGTCGAAAGATGCGATATCGAATTTCATTAAGGAATGACAAATTCCGATATATAAACAAATTTGAGGTATATAATTGCCTACAATAAAAATTTTAATACTCAGTTGATGCAAAATTTGATGCTCTACATCTTTGATTCTATGGGTTTTTCCTATTAAGGAACTCATTTCCAAGTTACAGGGCCATTTATAGTAATTTGTTTTAGTTTTTGATAAATTTGGTAATAATCAGCATTGATTGACCGTGGTTTTATACCTTACCACTTAACCAAATTATAAAGTTTATGTACTCGTTAGAAGCACAATTTAATGTTCTTTAATTATTAAACAGTACATTTTTTGCTTTGATGCATCGTTTAGGAATTATAAATGAAAAAACAAAAATATTTCAAAAAAATCTGCTTTTCTTGGCTGTATAGTTTTCCCTTAGGGGCCCGCATTAGCTATTTTGGTTTTTACATGTCTAAACCCATACATACAAGTTAAAAATATTAAAACTTTTCTCACATTTTAAGCAATGAATTTCCCGTTTCGATCCTCAAATTACGGGCCTTAATATTCTTTAAATCAGCTGCAATTTTTGAAAGCAGTGGCTCTGGAACGGCGAACAAGGTTCTTTTTACTCAGAATAACATACACTTTGGTAATTACTTATTTGATTGTAATCAAACCTTCGCCTACAATGAGGTCGATTTTTGGGTCCTGGCTCCAGAGGGCTATGGGACCTTTAGTATTGGAAGCTCAGTACCCTACCACTGAGCTACCCAACTCGTGTTTATTAGAGGAAGGTAAGACATATTTTATTATAGTATTAAGAAAATATAGCGATAGCTTCATAAGGGGTCCTTTAGAGAAATAATATATAAAGATAAAATTGTGACCTTTGAATAAATTATTATTACTCAAGAAAAGGGCAATGTATTATTTTCAATAATAATAACTATGTTTTAAAAAAAAATGTTTTAATAGTATACAATAAATTTATGATGAAGTTTTCTTATAGAGAACGATATTTTTAGATAAACATTACATTATAGATTATTCTTTTTGGGGAAAAAAAATTTGGCTAATCTGGTGTGTACAACACACAACTTTCACTTAAACGCTCTCTCTACTTTGAATAGAAATTAGTTTCTGCAATTTACATTTTTAACTGAGGTAAAGCTTAAAGCTTTGTTACAGCTAATAAATCATTAAAATAATACTTCATTATATCATAAGTTGATTATGGATTGTAGGACTTAATTATTAAACTGTTATTTTCCATTGCAAAGTTTACTAAAATGGAATTACGAGATTTGCATTGCCTGTCATAGATAGATCAAAATTCATCACACTAATTGTAAGTGGATACACTTGGGATATGACAAAGGGAAAATACATCAAATTATTCACTCGTTTAATTTTTTGAAATTTTACATGATGATTTTTGGAATAAACGGATGATAGATACCTAATTATTTAAATCTAGAGTTATTAAATTACAGTAAATGTATTTATTTAAGGTTATAAACATATCCATGAAATATTTTTATATATCATTTCTTTTACACAAGCAGAATGAAATGGTATTCAAACAATGTCATTGCCCTGATTCGGTAGACTTTAAATACTTTTTTCTTCAAACTTAAAAGTTTACATTTAGTAAGAAAATTCCATTTAATTTCCTTAGAGACATTTGATTTACGTTAAAAAATGTTAGTTTTCAGAAATTATTTATATATTTTTTTTCTATAACTCTCCACCTTCCAACGATATATTATACTTATTCCTTCTGAATATTATTTCCAGAGATTCATTTTTGACCTAGATAAGCATATTTGTTTTTTTCTCCTTTATTCCATTATCAAAAGTTATATTTAGTTTTTTTTCATAACTCCTAACAATGGGGGATAGTTAATTATTTAAAATAAATGAAATTAAAGGAAGGCATTTTGAGCATTGGGCATTTAATCTCTGTTAATTAATCATAGGAATAAGACCTAAATTATATTAAAGATTACTTAATTATACATTGATACACAAGAGTTTAATCAAAATTGTTAGAGCCATTTTTTAGATAATCATAAAAATGTGTTAAATCAAGGTTTTGAAGTGCCACTTTCGGTGAGCCGATTTTGAAGAAAAATTGCTGTAACGTCACAAACATATACGAACCTTAAACAAGTTTTTGTTTTTGAGCTAGACTGTTAACACACACATACATTTTGTGATACATGGTGATTTGGTCTCAAGGAACCTCAAAATGTGTATTTCTGTTGAAAACTGAGTTTCTAAAATTTTCACAATCGCAATATTTACCTTTACTGCATATTTCATGTATAGGTAAATGAAAGTAAAAAATTAAAAATACTGATTCTATAGATTAAGATAAGCAAAAAAGTGAAATATAGTGAAAACAGATAGTTGTAGTACTATATATATATCAAATTTTTTCTTGAAAATGGATGATCTATTCTGAAATGTTAAAAAATGAAACATAAATAAACATAGGCTGGTCTTGGAAATGTAAAGGTTATTGAAACTTATTACATAGTAAATAGATGAACTGTTGAAGGAAGAAACAGTTATATAAAAAAGAAAAGCTTTGTGTAACAATCGTTAATTTATTTTAATCTTAATATAAATAAATAAAATTAATAAAAAAATCAACAAGTGACATCAAGACACTTAACATTTATTATTTATAAGAAGAACAATAAATTTTAAGTACATACAAACTTTAGAAAAATACTTGGTCCGATGTGTGATAATTTATAACAGGCAGTAAAATTTCAAAATATATAAAATAGCTATTTAATTCTTAAGGAATGTGAGCAAATCACAAGTTAATGTCTTTTAAACTCATGTTCAATTACATAAAATTTAAATGCAATTACTACAGTTCGTAGGTTTCTGATTGTAAGTATCAATAGATGTTACAACATCTAGCAACAATCTGTCTAGCCAGGAGATTGGGTTTGGGTAGATAGCACCGCCTTCATAAAAGCCTAGATGTCCTCCATGGCTCACTTCAATGTAGGCTACATTGTCTTGTTGGTCTAAAAGAACACAATATCAGGATTAGCAAATGAAGATCCTCATGATTATAGAAATAAAACCTATTTATAATATCAATATCCATATGTATATCCAAGTTAAATTTATGGAAGATTTGTCATCCTGGGCTTTTTTTTAAAAAGTAGATACTTTTTCTGTTAATTTATAATTATAATTTTTACAACATAAAAATTGTACGACGTTCAATGAAAACTAACCAATCTACTAAAACACTGTATTTTTATGTTGTAAAAATTTTAAATTTTTAAAAAATGTTACTCATGGATTAAAATGACAAAGAAATGAATGTTGAAAACATTTTTGTTTTTATAGAAATATTTCTATTACTACTTATACCAGAAAAAATTGTCCATGAAGATGGGCCAGGAGCCTGAAACATTAGCAAAAAGAAAATAAGTTATAAATTAACGGAAGAGATATATTACTTAAAAGTAAACTCTGGATCATTTATGACTTTTCTACATAAAAAAAATAAATAGATTATTTGTCATATAAATTCTAAAGAGGTTACAAAAAGCTGCCTATGACCTCCTCACATGAGAGTTTAGGTCAATAAGATTAGATCAACTGAAGAAGCAGTAATGAGAACAATCTAAAATCAAACAAGTTTGTTAACCGAAGGAGAAAAATTTGCCATTGCCAAATATGATGCGTCATATTCTCCACAAAACATGACAAATTATTTGGATATCAAGTGGTAATTGAAATCTGACCATGGACAATACACATTCAGCTAATTCAAAGATTAATTAAAAAAAATAATAATTTTATTAAATTTACCAGCTTGCGTATTCACCTTTTTTAAAGCTATATGGGGTTTTCACTGGCCAGGAAGTGAGGGCGGAGGGGTGGGAGGATTAATGCCAGAGATAAAGGCTCCCCTTGGCAATGGGACACAAACTCGTAATAATTTATCCAATTATCTTCTATCATGTAGCCGGACAACGCGGTGCTGTGCACACGCATTAGCTGGGCTCAGCCAGCCCACCCCTTACATATTAACACTTATACAACTAAAATATACTAAATAATTCTAAAAAAATTACTAACTAGCAAAGTCTCTCATTGGTGTCAATAATTCCTCTGGAACAAGTGGGTCATCCAACGAGTTGATATAAATCATAGGGATATTAATAGTTTTTATGTAATTACAACTACTACTCCATTTGTAAAGTGAAGAAAGACTTGGGTAGTTGTAAACTTTCCTGAAAAAGAAAAAAATTGTGAAAGATTTTTTCTTCAACACCTGACATTCCATGAGATAATACTATTTTCAAATTAATATATATATTTTTTTGGGAAAAACTGTATAGATTTGTTATGTTACTTTTCTCACAAGTTAAGAGGTAATATTAAAGTTAATACAAAAATAATTTAATTAACATTATTCCTTTAATGAAACATTAAGTTAAATTATGAATAACCTTTTTTAGTATCTATTTTCAGGGAGTGGGGCAGCTCAGTGGTAGGGTACTGAGCTTCCAATGCTAAAGGTCCCAGGTTCGAACCCCGGCTCATGGCAGAAAATCTATTTATCTGTTTCGTTGGCCTTGGGGCGACCCTGGGTCGGGAGATCCTCCTGGAGCACACCCAGCCTCTATAAAGTGGGTTCCCTTAATTAAAATTAATTAAGGGGGAAAACCGGGTGGTTGTGCATGATCTTGGTCAAATCACCTCCTTGCACAACCGTTGACCGAGAAACAGTGCTTTCCCTAAATAGTACTGAACCCTAGACCCTTCATGGGTTGTAGTGGTACAAGTTTTTTTTTTTTTATATATTCAGAGTAACAGTAACATATTTTTAAATAAAAATGAGACATGCATAAAATTTTACATGGTACAGACCACTTTTAATCAAAATATTAACATCAGTCTAAAACCTCTTAATAGCTTCATATTATCATACCCTACAACTTTTTTATCTATAAAAAATCTCAGAAATGGGACATTTTTTCATCAATTTAATAGATTACTTAAAACCCATGATAATTCATTTGCTTTCCACTTGAATCATAAGATAATTTGATCACAAAATTGAGAAAAAAAATTGCCTAAAAAAACATTATACCATTATTTATGAAGCCATTCAGGAATTTTTAGGAGAATGTTAATATTTTGATAAATGCGGCAGTGGTCTGTATCTCAGGCTAAATGGTAGCACATGATTTTAATGTGTTTAATTTCACAATAATTTAATTATTTGATGACAAATAAAAATGTAAATCTTTATTTGTTCAAAATCTTAAATCTCACCGACTGCTTTGAAATTATGGCCAAATGTTGCTTTAGAATATGCCTGTTTTTATATACCTGATATTAAAAAATGTCAGGTAAAAACATGATTTTTTTAATCAGCAACATCTGTTGAATAGTATAAAAGCTGTTCAAGATATTGTTTCAGATTTAAGATTATTGAATGTGGCATTGCGTTGGAATTGAGTTATGCCATTTACCATAACGTTCATTTCATATGTATCAGAGTTGTCTCCTAAGGAATTTTATTGCTCACTTCTTTAAAATGTTTTGAGTGAATGTAGAATTATAAAAACTATACTCATGAAATGAACCCTACAGTAAACATTACAGCTTTATATAAATTCAATGGTTGACTATTCATGAATAATTATATATCATATATGTCATAATTATACATCATAATATCACACTACTTTCCTTATATATAGGGAAAAATGCAATATATGAAGTGTTTTCTAATATTGACCTGCATAAAAAGTTTTTATATCACTCTTTGTTAAATAATACTTAATATCAAACTATTCTTCAAATATAAAGTTTTCGAGAAACAAAAAACCAAAACAAAGGAAATAGTCTTTGCAGAACGATAAATACTGTACATAAGGCTTCATCTCTACATCAAATCGTCTGATTTTAATTTTTTTTCTTTTTCTAGAGAATTTTGGAAGCTATCAAATACTCATGGTATAATGAACCAAAAATAGTGTTTTTTTTTAGTTATTAGCAAATAAAATTTTGAATCCATTGTAACTTTTTTTTCAGTCTCTTTTCAAAAAAGTATATTATATACATAAATTACAAGAGCTTCAAGGCTATAGGCAAGTTCATTAAAATCGTTATAGCCATGTTAGCCCTACAGTTTATTGCGACACACATTTTTCGGCCATCATTTCAAAACAAAAGGATGGACAGAAATGAAATGTACATAGAAACACTCCTGAACTTAATTACATTATAGAGCAATCTGTGAAGAATTTTAGGAGATTTGTGGTTTTGAACAAACGAACATTTACAATATTATTTATATAGATTATATGAATAAACTTGATAATAATCTTAGTATAAGAGTTAATCTTAGTTACCTCGTATAAGAATCATCGAGTTCAGGCAAAGTTGCAGCAGATGCCACCTCTTTTTCAATAAGATTATATTTTTTCTTAGCTTCTTCTGACAATAGAATATTTCTATTTCGAAGTATTATAGCCTTCATGGCTTCAGTAATAGCGTAGAGATATAACCTTCTGAAATTCTGCCACTGCAGAAGTAGTTTCGTTCCTCTAAAACAAAAGTGAATAAAATGATAACAGCACTAATCAAATTTTGCTCATACAAAGCATAATAATAGTACATATAGGTCATTTTCCCATTACAAACGATTTTAGGGATTCAAATTCCACAAAAAAAGTGAAGTAAAAAAAGGTTTTTTTTCACGATTCACTTCTAGATATGATTTTAATGATAATGGCTAAAATACCTTCATAGAGATCAGTTTAAATAGTGTCATCTAATCATGATGGCATTGAAACCATAAAGGTGAGGTAAATATAATGTTGATCAGCAAAATAAATAGAAAATAATCTTCAACTCATGATTAGGTTTACAAGGGGGACCCAGAAAAAAAAAAAAAAGCGGGAATTTCTTTCATAACTTCTTTATTTCTTAATTTTTTTAAACCAAATTTTGATCACCTTCAAAGTATTCTCCTTTGACCACAACAAACCTCTCCAAATGATCCTTCCATAGCTCAAAACATTTTTTAAATTTAGTTATCAGAATGTTCTTTAGGCCTTTCAGCGATTTTTGTTTAACTCCTCCACAGTGGCAAAACACTTTCCTCTTGTATCCCTTTTAGTCTGGGGAACAAAAATAAATAACAGAGAATGAGTAGGGGGATCGACAATCGGTGTCATGTTGTTTTTGGTCAAAAATTGGTTTATGGGGAGGGCGGTGTTGGCCAGCGCATTGTCATGATGGAGGAACCAGCAGCCTGTGCTCCAAAGATCTGTCTTTTTCTTCCAGATTCTCTCCATCAATCTTTTCAAAACCTCCAAGTAGAACTTCTGGTTAACAGTTTGACCTGGGGTAACGAACTCTGCATGCACAACACCTCTGAAATCAAAGAAACAAGTGAGCATTGTCCTGATGTTTGACTTCACTTGGCGAACTGTTTTGGGATGAGCAGAGCCAGCTGTCTTCCACTGGCTTGATTGCTGCTTTGTTTCGGGATCGTATCCATAGCATCACTAATAATCATCTTGGAAAAAAAATTTAGGGTCCTATTTGAGCTGATTTTGAAGTTCAAAGCATGCCCGAAGTCGACACTCCCTTTGCTTGCCTGTGACTAGATGAGGGACAAATTTGGTTGCAACTTTTCTCGTGTGTAAATCTTCAGAGAGAATCCTCTGGTTTCAATTTCATGATGTTCCAAATATCTCATGGAGTAGATCAATGGTTCGGCGAGGGTCTTCACGAACGAATGCATTGATTTAGTTGACGTTTTCATTACTTCTTGACGTTGAGGGGCGTTCTGCATGGGGTTGGCCTTCAATTGACATTTCTTAATTTTTAAAATGTGAAAACCATTCGTAGACTCTGTTTATATTAAGGGCAGCATCCCCATAAGCATTTTTCAGCAGCCAATTTCCTCAACAGGAAAAAACAAAATTTCACAGCCGTGCATTGCTCTCAACAACTGGCCATTACGTTTTCGGCAAAATAGAAATAGTAGTTTCACTAAAAGAAATTCTCACCGGCGAACTGATGCACTCACAGCGACACCACTTCACAAATTAACTCAGGAGACGTGTGTCCCTAACGGACACCGGATTGAACAAAGGGTTCCCCCACTCCCTCCCCACCAAATTTTCCTCCAAGGTCCCCCCTCTTATTATAAATTACATAGGAATTACTGATGAGGAGGAAATAAATCTGTCAAGCTAAAAAATATTAATTGACATAAGATTTATGAAAGATGAAAAGAAAAATAATTTGTCCATTTCACCATTCAAAGGAAATAATCCAGGATAATCGAGCACTAGCCAATACAACTTGTTTAGACAAGGTATTATGTTAATAGCTGCTCATTCTATTTTTATCACATAGATCAAGAGGGTACCTGGATTCCAAGGTATTCAAGAATCAAATCAATGATTTATAAATCACAGACAAATTTATAGTTCATTTTGAAGATCCTAATACAATTCAAAAGCTATAGGCTGAATATAAAACTGTTTTACACAAATGAGAACTCTCACATCACATAGCTAATCCCCTTGCAAATGTACATGACGTATGAACATCAGTTAAATATGTTTATTCATACATACAATATAATATAATCAAGATGGTCTATTTAACACATCAAATTTAAAATAACAATTTATTTACTAAGTGATTTGATTAGCTTGTCCCACTGGATATCTCATATCTCTCTAGTTTAATAGGTAAGCAATAAGACACAGTTAACCGTGAACTTGAATTAATCCGTTATTGTACTTATTCTAGACCTATTTGTTTGGTGTATTGAAAACCATACCTGGATTTATTATATATATTTTAAAAAGTTTCTTTATATATTATTCAAAGTAGCCAAGGGATTTTCGATCTATTCTCTTCCATTTACCTTTTCAATATATTCTCAGTTCGTTGAAGACTAACATGAAAAGTAATATTTTGATTTTTACAATTGGCAAGAATTATAATTTATCTTGAAAACGGGACATTTTGGGCTTAAAAACATGGGGCCTGATTGTACCTTTGGAACCATACCGGGTCTTGATGACCATGTCAAAATCTTTTCATATTTCAGATTCATTGACTTTGAAACCATCTGAGTTTTGAAACCTTTTTTTTTTTTCAATGACCTAGTAAAGTTGCTGGAGGAATTTCAGGATAGACATTGGGATTTGTCACTTCTCCATGAAATTCCCTTTCGTTTGATACCACATTCATAAAAAATTCAGCATTCTTGAAATCCGAAAAATGGATTTATTCTATCATATTATATACAGTGTAGATCTTTAAAAGGCATGAAATGCTACCATTTTTCTTCAAATTACTTACCCTAAAAAGGGGATCTCATTATATCATATCGTCCAGCTCCTAAAGGTTTAGATCCACAATTGATTACATGAGATCTATTTTCATAGCTTTTGGTGATATAAAAGAAAAAGAATTTCGAAGTTTTATTAAAGCATTCCTATACATCTCACAGCAAAAACAACAACAAGATCACTGAAACCCAGATGAAACATGTATTTTAACATAAAAAATAATTTGAATCAAACATACCTTCCTAGAAAAATAACCGTGTGAGGGAAATATTATTGCAAATGAAGAGTCACTAACAATGGCAATAAAAATTAACTCGAAAGCATCAAAGAAGTAGATAGAAAGTAGATCAAACCTATGGGACAGAGGAATTAAATTTTTTTTTTAACTACTCGTCCTGTTATTTTTCATAAAATTTAATTGCTCATATTACCAGAGCCTTTAATGTAAAAAAAAAATTACTTAATAATAGTGAAAATAAAAAACTTATTTGTCATAAAAGTTGCCAACTTGTGTCATGGGAAATGTGAGAGAATTATATTTTGACGATTTGAATTTTAATTTGACACAGAAAACAAATTGGTTCATAATGTAAAAATCAAGAGTATATGGTAGTTGCAACACACAACTTTCACTTACCACTATACTTTGAATAGAAATTATTTTCTGATAATGTTGGGCTATAATAAAATTACAAATCAAATCATTAATACTATTAAAATAAAAAAAAATCCTATTTATTATGTCAATGGTTAATTATGGATTGTAAAAGTTTACATTTAGTAAGAAAATTTCATTCAATTTCCTTGAAAACATGTGATTTACACAAAATAATGTTAGTTTTCAGAAATGATTATTTATATTTTATCCTCCGTTACCATCTACAACTGTATTAATTAGATATTATTTTTTCTAAAATTCTACCCTTTCCAATGATATTTATATGTATGCCTTCTGACTTTTATTTCTGGAGATTCATTTTCGAGCTGGATAAGCAGTTTTCTTTTTTTCTCCTTTATTCAATTATCAAATTCTTTCAAAATCTATATTTAACCTTTTTTCATAATTCCTAATAACAAGAGACAGTTATTTTATTTAAATAATCCAAATTAAAGGTGCTTTAGAGGAAGACATGTTGAACATTGGGCATTTAAGTCCTGTAAAGTGACGTCAATGGGTATAAGGCCTAAATGAAATTAATAACTACTTAATTATACACCGAGTTTAATAAAAATTGTTCGAGCCATTTTTGAGAAAATTGTAAAAATATTTTTCACCGTTGATATAAAGTTGCACTTCCAGTTAGTCGATTTTAACGAAAAAGTTGCGGTCACATCCAAGGCATATACCTATCTTAAATACGTAATACCAGTTTTGTACGACTTTTTGTTTTTGAGCTAGACTGTTCACATACACACACACACACACACACACACACCATTTTTCAGGACTGGGTTATTTAGACTCAGGAGACCTTAAAACGTGTATTTCTGTTGAAAACTCAGATCTGAAAATTTTCACGATTGCAATATTTTCCCTTACTATATATTGGTAAGTGAAAGTAAAAATAGTTGAATTACAAACTAAAAGTGTCTAGATCACACTGGCATCAGTAGGCATACAAGAAGCCAGCAAATCATCAACTGAATGGTCATTAAGGTACTTACAGAGAACAGGGACAACAATAAGGTAGCTGGACACTAAATCAAATGATCGCACAATATTTGTCATCTTTTTCTTTTATCTTAGAGGCTAATATTTCATTTTCATTTTATATGGTAATTTCGAATTTTCAATGACAACCCTAATACTTCTAATCATATTTCTATACTTGTAATGTCTGGGAATAGCTTTTAATTTTTAAACATACATCACCTGATCGGTTTTAACATGATAATATGAATCACCTTTAAAAAGGATTTCTAAAAGATAAAAATATTTTCATTAAAGATAAATTGCAGCTTTTTGAAATAACCATAAAATGCACACCTCGAAACAGTAACAACTTATTGTTATATTTAAATATTTAGTCCACCGCTTCTATAAATTACAGGTTTATTTGTATTATTAGTTGTAACAAATATGATTATTACTCAGATCTTAACAATTGGACTTCCACTTGCTCAAGAGATAAACAAACTCAGAATGATTCGTTTTCATTGTTGTGATCAGTGCTTACCAAATATCTGAAATAATCCATCGCTTAGTTTCAATGACAAATTTTTGATTCCTAGCTTCATAAATATTATTATTCCTAGTTATTGTGCTCAATAATCCAAGAAAACATAAGGGACTATGATTATAATTACCTTCAGCAGGAACAAAATTAAAGTTTTGTTTATTTCGATATTCGACTACAAATCGATATTACTACAATAAAAATATCACAAGTAGATTAGTTTTAATATAAATGTGTGGAAATTGAAACCTGTATTTACTTTTAGATATAGACTTGGCTACACTCGGAAGTTTGTATAATTCCACTGACGTGATCATGTGTATGGATACCATATTGTGAGCCATGTTCTTTTTAAGTACCATCATTATCATTAAAATATAATGTAAATCATGAAAATGTACCATGTCAGTTTTATGATAGTAACAATATCGACAGCCACACTGCAAAAGCCTGTAAGTACAATTTGTTTGGAAAATGACGTTTTGAGCTTTTCTGATCTTGTCCTGGCACATATTCTGATCTCACAAACTGAAATCAACGATGTTTCAATTCTTCTCTATAGCCTTTTGTAAAAACTTGTAACTTAAAACCAGCAAATCGTGATGTAAAAATCTGTAAGTTGCAGTGAAGGTTATAGAGATTGTGTTGTCACCGAGAAAACGTAATGAAATGCTCAATGAAAGATGTCCATTTAAATAGAGAATGAATATAGCGTTTTAAGCATAGACTACAGTATCAATGTAGAGTACACTTTGTATTTTTTTTGAAATTTATAATAGGTGGTCGGCACTTCCAGTCTCATGCCTCTGGACACAAACATGCCCGGGTTCCCCTGCCGGGATCGGTTACCACGGAACAAGACAAAGCAAAGAAGAGAGTGGCAAGTGGGAATATAATATTGAACAGCCTTCCAAACCTCCATGCAACAACAAAATGAGCTTGAGTGGAAAAAAGCTACAATGTCACTGAATTACAGATGAGAGACATAGTTTTAATTTCATTAATTGGAAAATTTAACACAAGACAAAGAAAGAACTCTAGTTTCATATTTTCAAACAAACGAATCTTCGAAATCGCAAGAAGCTCAGAAATGAAGTAAGTGTTCTATACATCAGCAGATTATCTAGAACTTACCAAGCATTCGTGAATCATGTCCATAAGAAGTTCAGTAGGATAAAAACAAAACTTTCTTAGACTAGTTCAAAATTGGGCGCATGCACTCTATTCGAACTACTCCTACAGCGAGAGACAAAAAAAAATTGTATAGCCCGTGTGACCAAATACTCGCTTTCCAATCAAATGTTTTACAAACTTTCATTTGAAGTAGTTTCTCAATATTTTGGAAACTGGCTTTCACAGGAATGTCATGATTTGATCATTATTAACAATGTTGTGGATGTTACTACAATAAATTTGATTGGTTTTACTTAACTTAGTACCTGTGTTTCAAAATAACTAAAAAGCTATAATTTAGAAGTAATGGCTCTAAAAGAGTATATGGTAGAAATACAATTTAAAAAAATTGAGTCGAAAATATAATGCTCATAGAAAAAAATAAAGCAGTTTTTTTGTCTCTTGAAAACTTTTAGTTTTTGTTCTTACAGGCATTTGCAATGTGGCTGTCGACAAGTTTTTTATAAAGATTTTTCACACCTTTTTTTAATTCTGAACGTGAATTATTAGCTACTGACTTTATAATGTCATATCCTTGACAAATTGAAATTCCACCAATTATATTGCTCGGACGATTTGTTTCTTCTTCTCCTAAATATTTGGCCACTGTATTTCCACCCATGCTGTAGCCTATACACACTAGTTTACTGGATGAGTATTTTTCATTTAGATGGTTCAACATAGCACCAAGATCAGATGTATAGCCTAAAAAAAAAATAAAATAAAACTTGAAAAGATAAAGTAAACAAATAAGAATTATGTACAATAAAAAGTCCGAAAGGAATTTAACTAAAAAGTTAAATTGAATTAATGTGATATACAAGTACTTACAGACTTACCATATGTAAATATTCTAGATGACGAGAGTGGAACAGAAGATAAAGCTCCAATATGATTTAAAACAGCACATCTAAAACCATGACACTGGGAATAGTGGACAAAAGTGCGCACATACACACTTTCTGATGAATTACATATTCCTGGAACTATCACCAATGTGATATCCTCTGAAATATATAAATTATAAATAATTAAAATCTCCATTATAGAACATAAAATATAAAAATTAAATAACATTACGAATGTAATAAAATTGAAATAATTATTAAATTTAAAAAATAATTATCAAAGCAATTAATGATTAATAAATAGATATGCTTGGAAAAAGTGCCACAATATGAAAAAGTGGAATTTCGCAGAAGTGTTAAAAGCTAGCATATTTAGGTTTATCGCTATCTGTAACTCATTTCAAAACATCAAGTCTAACAATTTGTTAATCAATAGCACTATGGAAGTTAATATTTTTTTGAACATTTGAATAAGAATTGTGGAATTAAATTTTAAAGTTTTTAATTTAGAAAACTAAAATAAATTGTTATTGCAAGACATATTAAAAATATTATTTTTTTTTCTCAAAGAAGTCTGAATTAAAAGAAGACACCAGAAAAAGAAAAAGAAAAGAAAAATTAATATTTTAGTACTGTGACACTGTTCTTCCAGACAAATATATATTTTGTTTCATTAGACAGTACTATGCAGAAACATATTAACTGATTTATTTCATAAAAACATAATAAAGCATTTGAATTTGTTTCTTTGTTGAATGAGGGTGTTTAGCAAAAGAGAACAAAAATATTAACAGCTGTTGTGCTTTTACATTTCAAAAGATAAATTTGCGCATTCTATAAAGCAATTCAAGAAGTACCTCAAGGGTAGTAAAACCTCAAAATAAAAAAAAAAAATCAGTAGGTATGTTTCTGTACAATACCTTCCAATTATAGAATAAAAATTTAAAACATAAAACCATATCAAAAGATTAGTATCAATTCAAATTGATCATTTAATCGAATTACAAAATACAATAAAATAATAATTTTACCAATAAATATGGGAATCAATACACAGATACCCAATGTTCAAAAACTTATTTTTTTAATTCATTGAACTGATTGCAGAATTAAAGTATCAATTTAAAAACATTTTGTGTGTTAAATTGACCAACTCATGTTAACTAATAACTTCATTAGAGATATTAATAAATATAAGCACTACTAAGCATCCAAATTGAAATCACCTGAGCCTTTGTAAACAGGTTGGTAGACATCATAAGTCAAAGTGCTTCCATCCTTAAGTCTTAGTTCAATACGTTCACCAATTGGCCATGGGCAACGTACTCGGCCAATTATACTATGAACTACCGTTTGTATATGACCATTATAACCCCAAAGTCTTGTTGGAATGTATCTTAAAATGTCAATACAAATATAACACAATACATTCAGAGATGATTAATATGTGATCATTAAGAAGATGGAAAAACTTATAATATAAACTTACGGTTGGACAAGAAGTGGACACGCCTTCAATAAATTTGCAACAAAGTTTTTATCCTTTGAGAAAATTTTTGGTATTTGGGGCTGTGATGTTAAATTGAGAAGCTTAAAGATGAGGCATAGAAGAACAGCAATAGCTGCTAGAACTGTAGGTTCAGGTATGTTCATTTTAAATGTAGATTATTCTCTTTTAAAGCGTAAAAAATACCTAACAGCATTAACTCTCATCAGTCAATTCCTAAGAAAAAAAAGTTAACTAAATTTGCAATGAACTAAAAAAATTTAAAAAAATGTAAAAAGTTTAGCGAACCTTCAATCAGCAACCTAGAATCAATACATCACTAGGAAACATGAAATAATGCAAAATAGTCGCGACTCAATCGATTGACTCATGTCAACTATTTCTTATTCCACTTCAGGAGTTAATTCAGACCCTATAGATAAGAATAAAACCATGACCATTCCTACCAACAAAACAATTATTCGACTGAAAATGATTGGCATTGAATATACAAACATTATCTATTTATCAACCAATATATTTAACACATTATTCATAGATAAATATTGGATCATTTTTATGAAATGTTATACAAAATTTGTTTAAGTAATAATGGACTAGTTTTCCACAGGGCGCTGGCCGGTTCTAGCTAAGGTTATCAGATAAGCACTCAAATACCTCGTATTCGTAACTCGAAATATTTCGTCGCTTGTATCTGCTCGCAAGTGTTTAGTAAAGATTGATATCATTTTCTTAGAAAGAGTGGTAATGACGTGTTTTGGTTGAACTCACTGCTAGAAACGAATATGAATTCACTCAAGTGGGAATTTAACTGCCATCGTTCAAAACCGGACACATTACCCGGGAGTGTATGCGGAAAAATGTGACTTATTTTACAAAAAGTTTTATCTATTTCAAACAATTGTGTTCTTAAAGAAGAACTGCATGACGGCATGGATCCGTCAAGATACAAAATAGAGGCAAAAAAAGAGATTTTTTTTTACTCCTTCAGTTGTTGATTTATAACTCCGAAACGGTGCTCTGTAAAGTAAAATAAAAAAAAAAAAAAAAACATTACATTCAACGTCGAATGAATAAGTGACATAAATTTGGTTTTGCATTACGCTCAAAATCAACCTGAGACAAACATCCAAGGGACCCACCAGCTCTATTCGTAATAATTTTTTTCTCGACATTTTCCACTCATTACACACTTGAAATACTAATAACTAAATATTAAATATTGGATAGCAACACAGGCGAATCTACGGAAGGGGGGACCTTCGTGCTGAATCCCCTTCCTCACCTCTCCAAAGTGGTAAAATATATCCATGCCTTACAAAAATAATTATCTCTAAAAATATTATTGTTAGTTAATTACATTTAATAGGACTTCAAGAAATACTTAAACACCATTTCTTATAGGTAGTTAGTCAAAGCAATTATCGTTATATATATATATATATATATATATATATATGGAAAACAAAGCTATCGAGTTGGGCTGTTGTCTCTACTCCAAAATTGATTCCTGGATCTGCTAGTGGTTAGCAATGTCCATAATAAAGACTGGCAAAAAATATATATGTATTTATAGATGGTATTTGATGAATGAGATAAATATTTTCAAACAGAAATCGACTAATTAATGACGAAATAATTGAAAAGAGAGGAAATTATATTAAGAATACAACGGAAAAATATAGAAGAGTATGACCGGACATAAATTGACGAAACAGTAGACGATTGATAAAAAGATATAGAAAGAGGAGCTCAAAGAAGGATTTGGTTGAGAGAAACAACTAATAAGAGAAATCCTTGATAATATTATTTCTTGTCAATTATCTTCTATTCCGTCAATCTATGTCCTGTCATGATTTCCTTTACTTCACTTTTTCACTGTACAACAGTGGAATAAAAAATTAATTTTGAAGGGAGGGAGTTTTCTTTTTTTAAACAGTAATTACGCTGAAAGAAAAAGGGAAAAAAATTTACATGAAATGATGTTTAAGTGGTTCTTGAAGGAAAAAAAAGAAGATGAAAAAAAGTAATTACAGGTACAATAATATTTTTAGAGATAAATTTCTACTATATGAATCAAATATGGACCAATGAAAAAAATATATTTTCCATTTTGGAATGGGAAGCTTCAACCTGAAATTCCTCTCTCCACCTCCTAGATCCACCAGTGCAGTGTACCCATGTTTTGCCTTCTTTCTCCAATCTTCTGATTCTAATTTCATCATCAATTTCAGTCGTCGATTTGAATCCCTCCGACTTTGAACTTCTTTTTTCAATCGCGTTTAGTGTGTTTTTCTTATATTATTTTTTCTTTTTGTTTGATATTATACAGAGTCGTAAAAGGAAATGAAAAGTGACACAAACGTACAAATTTAACAGATTAAATGATCGAGAAAATCATGGTAATTAACTGTTTTAAATGATGTTATACCGTCTCTTTCACTTTTATTTCACTATATATGAAAATCTATATATCTACTCTAAGGTTGGTAACTAAAAGTTGTGTGATGCGCGCACCGCACCAGATTTTTGAATTGAGGATTCCTTAAATATTCTTAATCAGTTACAATCAGGAAAATTAATTTATATTTAATCTGAGAGATAATTTTAAAATATATTATGTTAAAGGTGAAACCTAAAAGTACATTTCACTAAAGGAGTATTTTAAGGTACCCTCTCATAATAGCTTCAATTGGACTGCCTCCCAAAGGCTGATGCAAGTGGGGGTAAGAGTTCAGAAACTCTTGCATGCAGTATTGTCAGTTTGCCTGTTTATTTTAGCGAGCTGAATTATTTTTAGTATTTAAATTTTGCATATTTTTGGATCAAAGCATATATGCGAATATTTTGATAAAAACATTTTTTATGTGTGGAAAAATGAAAAACGATATTTTTATTTTTAAAAAATACATTTTTATGGTATTTCAAAAAGTATTATTGTGAGAGTAAATGAATGAGGATAAAAAATAACATAATTTTAAAGCTTGAAATAATCTGATCAAGGATTCGTATTCTACGTTCAATTTCTTATTAGGAAACAATATTTAACATCAGAGGTGCCCTCTCTTCCCTCCCCTCTCTCAAGGTCAATGGCGCAAGAACCATCCTCCTTCCCCCCTCCCCTTCCAAAATATTTAATTAAACACAGAGCAAGGTAAAGTAGAATTAGAAAAAGCATAGATCATACACAATGGCACTTGCTACCGTTTCTTCCATGACTTTCTCTTGTCCCTCATTCTGAAACTTTTCGTTCCGAAAATTCATAAAACCGCTGAAATGTGGCCCCCTCAAAAATTCAAAAACCCTGTAAAATGTACCCCATTAAACATTTTGATGGCTCCACTTGCGCCATAAAACCCCTTTTACTTACCATTCCTCTTTAAGCAGAATTAGGCATTATATGTATTTTAAGACAAAGGGAAGAGAAAGGAAAAACCACAGATGATACAAAATATTTTTTGAAACAATCGATTACCATATGTTTTTCACAGCTGTCTAATATATTATACTTATGTTTATTTTCTTCTAATTGTTGTCTTTAACGATTGCATATTGTAATTATTTATTTGGTTATAATAAATAATTAAGTGCCCCACGACATATTTTTAATCCATTAGTGGCGTGGCACTTATAATGAAGGTCCCTTAATTTTATAAGTTTGATTGTAGGTATATTTATTTGTTTACGTATTGGTATATATATATATATATATATATATATACATATATATATATATATATATATATATATATACATATATATATAACATATATAGCACTAGCGAATCGAACCGGAGAGCGCTGCCCCTGGATGCTGGAAAAAATTTCAAAAAATAGATATTTAATGAAAAGAGAAATATAGGGAAAATTCATCCTGATAGACGACAGAGATCCTAATTTAATATACAAAAAAAACATTATAATCGCGACCAACATTAGCTAATTCTATCAGGAGGTGCGCCCTTCCATAGATACGGAAAAAAAAATCCAAAAATAGCGAGAAAAACACCTATTTAAAGAAAAGATAAATGTAGGGATAATTCATCCTCACACCAATTTTCTAATGTAATATATTAAAGAAAAGTTATTATCGTGACCAGAATAAGCGAATTCTGCCAGAGAGCGCGCCCTCCCTTGGATCGCGGAAGAAATAAAAAAAAAACAGCTATTTAAAGAAAACAGAAATATAGGAAAAATTCATCCTCTAAGACGAATTTTCTAATATGATATAAAAAAATTATTATTATGACCAGTACTAGCAGATCAAGCCGGGATCGCGCCCCTCTCTCCCCTGGATGGTGGGGAAAAAGATCCGAAAAGCAGCTATTAAAAAAAAACGAAATATAGGACAAATTCATCCTCGTAGACGAATTTTCCAATGTAACATAAAAAAAAAAGTTATCTTGACCAGAACTAATAATTTCTGTCAGGGCGCCCCCCCCCCTCTGGATGGTAGAAAAATAATTCCAAAAAAACAGCTATTTAAAGTAAAGATAAATACAGGGAAAACCATTTTCGAAGACAAATTTTCTAATGTGATCAATATCATCATCTCGAGCTCGACAATCCATTACTGGATCTTGGCTGCCTCAACAGTTTTCCTCCATGTTTTCATTTCCTGAGCAGACTCCACCGGTTCCTGATTCCATGCACTAGCGGATCCAGGATATAATTTTGGGGGAGGGGCTCCAGCCCGAGAGATTTTTGTTCCATAAAAATATAACGATAATTAATTTGAAAAAAAAGAAAAAAATAATTACCTATATAAAATGGTGTTGAAGTGGTTCTTGAAGTCCTATTAAATGTAATTAAACGAACAAGAATACTTTAAGAGATAGTTTTTAATATTTTTTTCTGTAAAACGTGATTATATTTTACCATTTTGGGGGGGGGGGCTTCTGCCCGAAAGCCCCCTCCCCCCCGTAAATCCGCCTGTGATTCCATGTATTCTAGCATCAGCACTTGCTCCGTTTTCCATCTAACTTTCGATCTCTCCACTTTTTTTTTTCCAATCGGCTCCATCCTCAGCTGCTTCTTTGGGATTGAGGTGTCGTCCATCCGTACAACTTGGCCCTCCGATCTCAGCCTAATCCGGATATATTTTACCATATCCGGCTGCTTGAATAATTTAGCTAGTTCTTGCTTGCGTCTAGTTCTTTATTCACCATTCTCCTTAACTGGGCTAAATATCCTCTGAAGGACATTTCTTTTGAAAAGTAATATTTTAAGCACCTGTTTAATGAAAAGAGAAATATATATATATATTTTTTTTCTAAATCTCTTTATTGAGAAATAATACATTTTGCCACATTTAAGGGCACTGAGTACTAAAGCTGAGTGAGGCCCATTCATACTATATATACGATGCAATAAAAATAAAATAAATAAATAAAAAATAAAAATATATATCTATATAACAAAGGTAAAAAGTATAAAACTAAAGAAATGTAACTTGAAATCAAATAAAAAAAAAAAATAATAATTTAAAAAAATATAAAATAAAAAATACAGAGATTGGTAGCAAATTAAATAAGTCATAAGTAAAACAAATAAATATATAAAAAGAAAAGCATTCATACTTAATTTACTATCAGCCAAGGGAGCTCCGAGTCCAGCGCTTTCCTCCACGTGTGAAGGACAAAGCGAGACTCTAAGAGATCCCAGTGCTTCTCTCTCAGGAGTCCAGTGGAAACTGAGAG